TCTCAGGCAGGCCCAGCCAGCGGCGTCAGCAAAACCGCGGTATTTAGTCTACCAAATCGCTGGGTGAAGGATTCGACTCGCAGCTCCGGCCGTGGGCTTCTCTCTCTCTCCCTCTGCCAGCTTTCGCCCGTAGCGTAGCGCCCGAGCCAAAAGAGACGCCAACTATGTACCCACTAACTCACTGACTAGGCTAGTCTACTCCGTACCGTACAGGATTGAGATTTTTCTACGGTTGTCAACCAGAATTGAGAATCAGCCTAGTCCATACGCGCATACGGCATTGCGTGCATCCGCTTCCGAGCTGGAGACCAGGGTCGATCTCTCAGCTTTCCCATTCTTAGCGAGGATTTGCTCGGGTTCACGTTTCAAGTGGCAACTTACAACATGCTCGGGAAGGGGCTCTACTGGAGACTTGACTCATGTTCGTCAGTCCGATCCAGCACGGTGGTGCTGATATATCGAAGGAATGATGATGACGATCAGGATGGAAGGATTTTGATTGACCCCATGGCCAAAAGTCCCGTGTGGATTTAGAGTTTTACTTTCAGCATCTCGTCATTCTAGTCTCCCCCGACGTGTCTAGTGTCGTTTATTCACGGACAGGGTTAGTTAAGGTTACATCCAGTCTTTCAGGGAGGGGTGATGAGGGGACAGCTCAGTGGGAGCCTAGGTTCATGAACTTCCATAGAGGTGCCTGACCTGCAGTCTGGGGTAGTAAGTAAGACACACGATTCCAAAGTATGCGAAACAGGGAGCACAGACCGGGAAGCCACTCTCATCCTCTGGTTTGCCGCAGCTGCTTTAGCTCGATGCATGGATGCAGTGCGTACAATTTACATATGCAAGATATGCAGGTTCTTGCTCTTGTCCTCCGTGGTCGACAGCCTGGAGCCCATCGTTATCCGCCCGCTTGGCGCCGCCCCCCCCTCCCCCCGGTCAGCGTCCGATTGACGGAGGGGAATTGCCTTGTGACCTCGATGTAATTAAGGCTTAGAAGCTCGACTATCCCGTGTTGATCGTTACACCGCTTCCCAGACTCTCGGGTCCATGTGGGTGGTTTGCTGCATGCTGCTGCGATGCGCTGGACGGACTGGAGTCACTATAGTCTAAACGGTTCAATACTATACGTTCGTCCTGTTCCCCGCCCCAACTAAGATCATCCAAGAAAATTTGTTCGACCACGCATCAGGTCTTGGGTCATCTAGCCCTTTGTGCCCCCTCGTCAAGCTTCTGACATGAGATTTTGCCATTTCTTCATAAGGGCGTAACCACCCTTCATCCCTCGGGTTGATGAACGGTCATCCAAAGAAACTATCTGCTGGCGCTGAGACATTGGATTCCTGCAGAGGATAGCCATAAGATCGACTTGCTATTATGCATTTCCTGGTGGAAGAAGGAGTGTGTGTGGCAATTCTTGCTTGCTGCAGTGCGATCCTGGCGCGAAGAGTGGCTGGCTACCGTAGTCAATCCTTCAGCTCAGCGATGTGTTAGACTAGGTAATTTGATAAGTTACCACCGACAACGCGCCGCGTAAGCACACATCCATCCACGGGTCCTGATAAAAAAGTATCGGGGCACTCGAATCGATATGGTATCGTCTTCTTGGACTCCCTCAGGGTTTTTGTCTCTGTTTCTTCTCTTGCACTTTCCTTGCGAATGGGTCAATAATAGAAAACCATTAATGAATCCGTCTCCACTCGAGTCACACAAGTCAATTCCGGAGAAATCACCCGTGCACTTGTGATTTGTTGGGTGTTCTCGGTCAACCAACCAAGCAAGCAAGTTGGTTTTGTCTTCCAGTTGCTCTTGACGGGGTCGGATTGAGTGATGTTCAGCTGGAGCTGAGCTGGTGAGCCGAGCTTGGTACTGCCTGCCTTTTTGGGAACAGTACAGGACTCACGCGAGGCAACTACATGGAGCCCTGAGCCTGGAGTAAATCACCCTAATTCATTTAAGTTACTTTAGGTTACTTGTACATGGGGAGTAAGACAGTCCCTTCCGAGGCTCGCCTTTCACTACGGAGTACAAACTCGAATAAGCAGCCTTGCAGCCCCTAATGCGACATGCATACATGCCTTCAGAGTTTGGTACCATATCAGAGGCCATGGATAAGCGCCGTTTTACCCTGCCCATAGCCGCCTCCAGTTTGCTTTATCGTTATCGATCCTATTCCAGGGTCCAACGAGCGCCCCCGAGGTCTGGGCGCCTTACCAAGCCGCATCCCAATCAACCATGTTTTCCTCCTATCAAACCTGCCACAATTCATGCGCGGTGGTGGGTGTCTTTCTGTCTTTCTGTCTTTCTGCCTTTCTGTCTTTCTGCCTTTCTGTCTTTCTGCCTTTCTGCCTTTCTGCCCTCTCTTTCGCTCCTTGTTGATTTCATGATGGTATCATCATCTTGAATAGGTTTTCGGTTGAGCCAAGTTCAGTGGATCGGTTTTCCCTAGATTTCTTGCCGTTCCAGTCGCAGTCAATGCCCGCTCAGAACAGACGGTGATCGATCTAGGAACCACCAGCCACAATGGGATTGGGGGCCAGGCCCTTTTTTTTCTTTTCCACGTTCCCCTTTCCCCCACCAAGCTCAACACCAACAACGTGGATCTTTTCTCCTTGGACTGGCCCATTGCTCGCTTTTACTCGGTGATAATCACTACTTGACTCAGCGAGCAACTGGAACGGCCACTAACTCAACTCTGGTGCCCATTAACCTCCTGCTCTCACAGCAGAGCATGTACGAGATGCTCGTGCTGCATTCTAAAGAACTACACACACATACTCTCTCTCTCTCTCTCTCTCTCTCTCTCTCGCTCACTCACTCACTCATAGATTTAGTCGCATTGGGAGAAGGACAAGCGGCCACTCGCTCCGGATGACTTAGCTCACTAGCGCGTGACTTGACTAATGCTCCCACACCGAATCATTTATGGTGACAAGCGGGGGGTGGATCACTGTGTCTGAAAGGCAAACATCCAGACTGACGACAATGAATGCTGTTGTTCCAAGCCCCTCGTTTCGAAAGCAAATTTCACAGAAAGTCTCGGCAAATCCTTGGGGTCTCTTGGGGTCTTATATTGCTGCGGCTGTGCAAAACTGCCTGGCATCTGCCTCCTCCAGTTCAATTCACTAAATCCCCTCACGCACACACAATCACACATTCATCCCTTAGCATTAAACTAGTCGTTTTGAGAACATCAACTCAGGACCAACCAACTCGACCGAATCCCTTCCGGCTGATTTGTGGGTTGTCAGAAATGGAGGCTCCACTAAACCCACTGCAGTCGGAGAGAGGAATAGGAGGTCTGATCTCAGGCCTGAGTCGAGAAAAACCATGACCAATCCTGTTGATGCTTGCTGGAACGCTTCAGTATTGTGCACATGCTACGAAGAGGCCCTAGGCCTATAACAGGGCCCTCTAATGATCACACACTGTGATATACCGATTACTGGGACTAGCCGTGTCATGCGGGCATTCATCGTCTGCATATCCATTCTCGGATCGGGAGCTAGTTCACCTCTAGCTGCTGTGGTCGGTAGAACCCCATGCATGCTCGATGAATAATGTCGGACTCTAGGGAAGGAGTCTGAATCAGGAGAACGGGGGCTTCCGACCTTCGGGGAGGAGGCCATGACTCGCTCGTAGCTCTCGTGCACGGTAATGGTTTTATTCGGTGACACATGTACATGTACTCATTGGTGAGGCTTCTATGTGAACTGTGGGAGACGTGGGTATAGCAAAGCTCGTTATAGTGATGTGACTGTGTCAATGTGTGGCCATGTTGAAATTCTATCCTAGCAGTGTGGGGCTGGTGGGATTACTGGATCTGGCTACCTACATATAGCTACGGTGTGTCAGTGGAGGTTTGCTTTCTAGAAGCCGACGGACCATTGCTGGGGTACCATTAGATGCCATGCTTGGGCTAAATCTCTGAGCAATGGTCGACCCTGTCTATTATGGTATTTCTGTGAGGCGGCCGAGGATCATGTGCTATGTAGGATCTTCAAGACTCAGAGAGCATGGCTCGAATAGTCAGCTGTGTGTGGAACGGTGGATGAGATATCTGTTCCTCCGCGACCAGCAGAATGAGCATCAGGCTTGGACTAGGATCGGTGGGTGCGCAGCCTCTACATTGAGGGCTAGTGACGCCTTCTTTGCATGACTTGGACCGCACTATCGGGTCGCTGCCATGCAGGTCTGCCATGGTAGGCCTGAGGGTGCACACGGGAGGATGCCACTGCTTCAGGGCGGCAATATAGTTGACCAATTTCCTGTGAGTCGACATCCACACGATTAGAGAGGTAGAGTCCTCTGCATAAATAAGCGACGCATCAAGTTACCTCCATACAAATTCACATCACATATGTAACGATTGTCCTACACAAAAAAATCCCAGAATGTGTTTTCGAGGTGTAGTTAATGAGAGCGATCCCCGCAAATGACTCCAGTGATAGCTAGCTACCATTTTATACAGGTATAGAATGCCATCGCGAGACCTGAGCATGTATACAACTAAAGGCGAGTCGGTAGTCAAACACGACTAAGGGACATGAGGGCAGCGTACAGTTCATCCGCACCGTGGGAAGTATATATATCACCTGACCCAACCACCGGATCATGACGACCACACAACTTCAAGGGATGAACTCATCGCCGTCATAATCACGTACGTGCTTCACAAAAGACAAACAACTCAATAAAAAACACCCATAAATCGAGTTCACCTCTACCAGCACAGTAAACGAACCAAGCACCTAAAAAAGAAAAGAAAAAAGAATAGTCGCGCCCGGGATCGAACCGGGAGCCTTCTCGGCGCTAAGCCAGCTAACACTTCTTGCGATGTGAACGAGAAATCATAACCATTAGACCACGCGACTCGCTTGTTGAAAGTTCCAGCCTTGTTACAACATAGTTAGTGCATTTGCCAAAATCGCCAGCCTTATCACTCGGCCTTATCCGCGCGGAATGCAAATAATTTTTCTCACCTTCATATTCTCCCTCCGTCTCTGCATCTCATCTTCGTTGGGTCCCTTCCCATCGCTTTCATCTTTTTCTATCTCAGAACCCCGCGCACCATAATCGACAGCCCAGACGAGTTTTCACTTTACTGAGTGATTCGATTACAACCAAACCATCCCCAACCCCACGCCCCGAATCACTCAAGAACAAATCCCTCGACCCGTCCGTCGGACGCAAGAGATGTCCGCTTGAATACCACCACCACCACCACCACAGCACACCACACGAAATGGACGCACAAGCCATCCTCCTCAAACTGGGCTGGTCCGGCCCCGGCAACCCGCTGAACCCCAACGCCCGCCCGGGCGCCACCTCGGGCCTGGGGCTGACGCGGCCTATCCTCGTCGCCCGCCGGAAGGGCAACTCGGGCGTGGGCAACAAGACCACCAAGGACCCCACGAATCAGTGGTGGCTGCGCGGGTTCGAGGATGCGCTGAAGGGGGTCGGCGAGGAGCGGCGGACCCCCGCGGACGCGCGCACGCCCAACGCGCTGACGAGCGAGCTGTACCGGTTTTTCGTGCGCGGGGAGGTCGTTGCGGGGACTCTGGGGGACAAACACAAGGATGATGGGGAGGGGGCCAACGGGAAGAGGAAGAGGGAAGGGGACGATGAGGATGATGGCGACGACGACGACAAAAATGGGAAGAAGCGCAAGGAGAAGAAGAAAGAGACGAAAGAGGAGAGAAAGGCCCGGAAAGAGGAGCGGAAGAAGCGCAAGGATGAGAGACGCGTGAAGCGGGAGGAGAAGAAGAAGCGAAAGGAGGAGAGGGAGGCGCGCAGAGCGGATCGGAAGCTCAGACGCGAGAAGAAGGCTGCCGCGAAGCTGTTGAAGCGGCGGAAGGAGGGCGAGGAGGATGCGCCGCGGCCTCAGTATGAGGATTATCCTACGCCGCCGATGACGGAGCAGGAACAGGAGCAGACGGGTGAGGCGGAGGCTGGTGTGAAAGTGAAGAAGACCAAGGAGAAGAAGGACCGCAAGGACAAGAAGAACAAGGAGGAGAAGAAGACACCAAAAGAGAGCAAGAAGAGGAAGACGCGAGAGGAGGCGTCGGCAGATGAGGCACCGAAAAAGTCGAAAAAGTCCCAAGCGGCGGAATGAAACCTCCCGGAAGGTGGGATAGATACTTAGATTAGACTTCTTACAGATACCCATGGCTTGTTGCTTGGTTCTTGGATTCGTAATTTTTTTTCTTTTTTGGCTTTGACATACATCAATCAACGCATTGTTTCTGACTCTATCAAACATGACCCAGCCTATTGTGCCTCCGTAGGCAATTTCCCCGGCCTGCCCGATAGGATCCATGGCCGACGCTGCCAGAATTCATCCTTGATGATATCCACATGGTCGACGACCACCTGCGCTTTCCGACGCAACTTGCGGATCTTATCCTGCTGAGATCGCGAAGCCGGAGCGCTTGGGATATCCTCCTCTTCCTCTGCATTGCTTGTCCCTGATTTGGGCTGTGCGTCCTCGAGTTGATACTGCGCGGACACTTAGCCGAAGACTTTGATGCACAACAGAAACCGAAACGTACCTGGCGATAGATCACACTGCCCTTCTTATAGATCTCTTCCTCGTTGTTGTAGTTGATCCCAAACCGCTTGAACAAAATCTCGTTCTTATCCGACGAGACAGTGCCCTGCCATGCCCATAAGCATCAACCTCGCCACCAACCATCCCACGAGAGACCGGGCTTACCTTCAGCTCCTGCTCCGCATCCGTGTTGCTCATACCACCCTGCAGGACCATGGTCCAGAAAGTCGTATTATACAGGTTGTTGATATGACCTGACTCACTCATTAAGACTCCGCCAGACCAAACATGAGGGGTTGCACTCACAATCCACCTGTCTCCAGCTCATGTAATCTCTCAAGATCCTCGAGCTAGGATACATGACCGCCCGCCCATCGAAAGAAGGAAGAGCCGCAGGCTGCAGCGGCGTATTGGGAAAATATGTACCCCAAAGATAGATGTAGTATGCTGTGAAGGTCGACACGATGGTCGTGACCAGTTTGCTAGTCATCCAACAATAGATGATGAGCCTTACAACTGCCCTCAGAAGACGAATGGAATGATGCAACTCACGCGCTTCGCCGCTCGAATAATTGGCAGCTGGGGTGGAATGCGAAACTAGAAGAAGGGGATTAGTACAATCCCATGCTTCGGCGGCAGGTAGAGGTGCAATGTACCTATACTCGTCGCTGACACCGTAGGCGAGACATAGATCGGGAAGCTCCTTCATGACCTCCACGGCGGCGGCATTCATTAGATCTAGAGCCCGACGGTCGTTGGGCTTGACGAAGCCGTAGCGATCGGAGAGTCTGGAATGGGGTCAGAGACTGGATCGGGGGTGGTCGTTGCACATTACCACGAAGGTAATGAGCTTAGAGATAGATAAACGAGTAAACGGACTTATGGAATCCTCGACCGTCAATTCGAACGACAATCCATGTGTTGGGGAGCAACACATCGGGTTGTTCGAATGACTTGACATACTCGTATCTGTGAAAGGCTTTAGCGCGGAAGAGATGCCAGGGTGAGATTTGGGCGGGGGGGAATGGTACTTGGAATTTGCCATATTGACGCTATGTGAGAGTATGTTAGGGCTACGGAAGCAGGTATAAGATATTCATAGGGAAAGGCTATGTATGATGAGGATGCAGCCGCCGAGGGTGGAATTGAAGGTGGGATGAAGATTTGAGTGGTGGGGGAGGCTTGCGGTTCCTCTTTTTTATCCGCGCAACGGCAACCCTGAATACAACAGCACATTACACATATCGAATGACACTTTGGAAAAAGGGTTGAAGTAGCTTTACACATACTGAGCTCATTAATCTATCGCTACCCTTGTATCAGGAATAGTGTCTTGATATAATCAATGAATGAATGCCTTTAGGTAAATTATTATGTGCAATCCAAATATGCCTAGGAAAGACTGAAAAGACTGAAAAGTGATGACCACCAACCCTGAAGCTTACAGCGCTAGGAAAGGTCGAAAGAAGTAAATGACAAGTGACTGACTGACTCTTGATCTATGGATAGAAAAAGTGAGAGAATGAATGCTGCACGACGCAGTATGGGGTTGCAGTGAGATCAAGAATGATGATGATCCTCCTCCTCGGAATCTTCGTCTGCCTCGCTAGCCTGTTCGCTAGGACGCTCGCTCGTCTCGCTAGCAGCTGACTTCCTCGACATCCGACTGAAGAAACCCAAGCTGCTGCGCGTTGATCTATCCGCAGAGGGTGCGCTCGAGACAGTGCTGTCGATGCTCTTGGCAAGTAGCCCTTCACCGTGGGCATCCTCATCGATATCTCCCTGCGCGGTGTCACCCCGCTTGGAAAAAAGACCAGACCGATCCTTCCATGAACTGAATTTACTCGAGCTCCCTTTACGGGTGATCTTGCGGATAAATGACTCCTTCGAGCTGGCATTGTCCAACGAACCCCCGGAAAGCATTCGCTCCAGTGATTCATACGAATCGCCAGTCAGGGCAGACAGAGAACGTGAATCCCGGGAAGCCCGCGACTCCGAGGGAGAGCCCTCGTCCATAGGAAAATCAAACGGTGCCTCTAACTCCCGGTCCTTGCCCTTGTCTTTCTCCTTATTCCTATCGGATTTCTTCCCGGAAGAAAAGATGGCCTTGAACGAAGGCGCTGCAGGATTCAGCTTTGGAGTAACCGGTCGATGTGAAGACGATGGTCGGGTGCCAATAGGAGCCTGCAAGGGGCGTCCTTGTCGCTCGAAAGCCGAGTCCTGGAGAAAATCGGGCTCACCGGTTAGACTTAGAGGCAGGTGACCAGAAGATCCGTACTGAATCGATGGCCGGCGGGATTGAACCCTTGACCAGGTTGAGGGGGATGCCCAATCAAATCCCAAGGGGCTACGGTGGCCAGGCTTCTCAGCTGACGGCCAGCCGAAGTGCCTATTATCTGTCGAAGGATGGGGAAGGTGATTGTCAAACGAGAAGGTCGAAGACGGCCTCGGAGACAATGATTCTCGTCGCACTTTCCCGAGAATTGTAGCGGGATCGATGGGATCATGCCGGGGGCTAAATTGGTTGTATCCCGTGCTGAGATCCGCATTCTCGCCGGACTTGAGCAAGCTGCTACCACTGCCAAAGCCAAATCTACTGGGAGAGAAGATGCTCGAGAACGCAGTGCGACGAGATGGATGGTGATCCGACGAACTGTCAGTTGTGGCACCGGCTGTATTGCTTCGAGGGAACAATGACATTGGGTTGGCCCAATTGCCTGTATAGCTCAGCCGACGACGTCTAGCACCAATGGGATCCATTTCATCCACATTACGGGGGAATGACTGACTCTGTCCTGGTTTCAGACTGCCCAGCAAAGGCGGTTCATCGGCAAGAGTTTTACCGCGAGGACGATGGAAGCCAAAGAGGCCAGACAGTCGCCGCGAGGCACTCTTTGGCGCTTCGCCTGCTTCCCCTAGATTCGTGGGTTGAGGCTCGACGTCGATAGAATGAGGTTGGCTCTCATGAGGGCTGGCGAAGAGGCTTGCTGGACGACTGTTGTTGGGTGAATCTGGCGACGGCGGGCCGTGGGGGAATTCGAGCTGGGTGCCCGGTTGCTCAAGGTTGGGAAAACGAGATCGAATGACCGGATGAGGAAGCTCAGGCGACTCCTCGTCGCCAAGAAGATCCGAAGGTAGTAAGGCGTCTGCGCGAGGGCTCATTTGAGGGGCACCGAGAGATATCTGATCTGCTGGATAGCCATGCAGGGAGTCAGATTGACTAGTCAAACTCGGTAGAGTCATTCCGTTCGTGATGTTGAAGAAAGCGGAGGTTGGCCCAAAAGTAGGTGAGCTGGTAACGGGAGGATTGTAGCCAAGGCTGCTGGAGAATGTTGGCTCTAGGGACGTATAGTTCATGGGCGAAGAGACATTGCTGGTAAGCGAACTGCGATGCCGACGGGGACGGATGGTTGCGGTATTCGAGAGGTCCAAATCGAGAGCTGGAAGAGTAAAGGGTCCTGTGCTGCCGCTTCGCTGTGTTGTGAGCCATTTCAAGCGTTCCTGGGCCTCTTGATACTGTTGCTGCGCCTTGAGAGACGGTCAGTGTGCGTGGTAGCAAAATGGTGGCTTCGAGCAAACTAACCTGTGCATGAAGGCTGACTAGAGTGGCATAGCGAGCATGAAGGTTGCTCAGTTTGACATCCCATTGCCGCGCTCGTTCATTATCAATTCTGTCCAACTCCTTTCCGTCCTCACTGTCGGCCTCCTGGTGAGTCTTCCTTTCATCCTCAAGCTTCTTGACACGGCCGCCCTTGTCCTGGATCTCATCATCGATGACCTTCATCTCCGACTGCTCCTTACCGATCTTCTCTCGAATCTCATTTGCACGCTGTTTCGCTTCCTCTTCGACTCGAGCCTTCTCCTCTCTTGACTCAGCAGCTTCACGGGCCATGCTTTCAACCTGCTCCTGCCACCGAATGATGTCGGCCTTTCGTTTCTTTCGCTCGGACTCTTTCTGCTGCAGGAGTCTTTCACGCTTAGCTTTTTCACTTTGCACAGTGCGGTTGACGCTTTCCAACTTGTAGACGTGTTTCTTCAAGTCGCCGCTGGCTTCATCCTTCTCCTTCACTCGCTTCTTCAGCTCATCACGCTGCTTCTCCAGTTCTTTTATTAAAGCGATGTGCTCCTCTTCTTCGTCGGCGGTCTGCTTTTCCACGGTTTCATTTTCCTGCTGCAGGGATTTCAATCGATCGGCAAGCTGCTCCAGTGTTTCATCACGATCGTCATTGGCGGTACTTTTGTGCAAATCTTCGGCACTGGAGTGAGCGATGTCGGTTGTGCTAGCTGCAGGGGATGGTTTCCGCCCAGCCGTGGATCGCTTCGCCTGAAGTTGTCCTCCGCTATGCTCACGCGCCATCACAGGCGCCGCGGGAGCGGCCAGGCCTGCAGTCGATCGGGGAATCGAGGCCCGGATGGTAGGGTTTCCGACCGGCGCATTCTGCTGCGACTGGGAGAGAGGTAGAGATTTCGTGCGCACATGAATGATTGCGCTGGGTGTCTGAAAATTGGCGGCGCTGACTGAGAGCACACAAATATGGTAAATACTTCCAGGGACTAAGTTTAGAATTTCGACAGCAGTCTCCGCTCGTTTCGATTCGCCCACTGACAGAATGTTAGCCGCACCAGAGAAAGAAGAGACGATCATCTCTAGACGAGAGCTACCTTTGACACCATTTAGCTGAATGATGTGCTTGTGAATCGAGTTGTGGAACTCCGGTTGTTTCCAGGCTATCCGGATCTCACGCGCTGTAATCTCCTCTAGAGTAACTTCCGGGGGTGGCGGAATGTCGAGTCCCAGCTTCTCCACAAGAACTTCGTTGGGCGTCTGACAGACCTGCCACGCACGGTAGAGCAGCCTTGAGACAAGATTAGTCCAACCGAGACATCGTCTGCAAAACTCTCTGACGGGCTACTCACCAGATCAGGGCCCAGAGAATTGTGACAGCCAGGAAGAGAGCCATAACGCCTCGAACCCTGACTCGGGGAACCACGCTGGGATAGGCGTCGAAAGAGAGATGCAATGGCTCATACATCCCAGCGTCCACGACCCATGGAGGAAGAGACAGGAAGTGAGGGGTGGCAGCGACCTCGTGCACGTTTGGGAGTGCGAGGGGGCCGTGGAGGATGGAAGGTCGAATATAGGTCCTGCGATGCCGGGCAGGATTGAAGCAAAGATAGCGAGAGAGAGAGAGAGAGAGAGAGACTTTGGGGAATTAATCCGATGCTCCGCGGAGGCTGCCGACCCAGTGGGGAGTTTCGGTCACATGACTGTACCCTCTGTACCCTTAAGGCTGCCGCTGGCGGCTTCAGATCCAGCTGAGTCAGCGTGCAGATCCTGTGCGACTGATCTAGGCGTCCAAAGCGGGACTAGCGCCCGTTTCAAGCCGAGGAATGTTGGATCTTGAGTCTGCTGGCTGCTGGCAAGGAAAGGGCTGAAAAGCACATGACGCCGACCGGTTGGGCGGTTGAGCCTCTCCCAACAATTGCCTGCGCGGAACTGACGGACGGTTCTTCTACTTCTTTTCCTTTTACTCTCAATTCTAACTTTTCTAAAAACAAAAAACCTCATACGTTCTTTGCTTGTCTACCTGGTTATACAGGTATCACTCGCTTGGTTATTCTTGTTCTCATTGTTTTAGTCGAGTGTTGCGCGAGTGACTACGGAGTACTCCGTACCGTCTCTCGTTATCATTACTTCTTTACTACGTATTGTCTCCCCGCCTCGGGGCATGTCTATCGGGCATTGTCACATGGAACGTACGTATGTACGAGTAGGCGGCAATTCCTGCACCCCCGGCCTCTGACCACCTCCTCATCCTCCTCTAACCCCTCTCCTACTCCCACCTGTGTGGTGAGATTTTGAAAAAAGATCTCTCTTCTCAATCGCTTTCTCTCGGATATACTCAACCTTCTCCAGGGACACCCCCCCCCTGTTGAGCCTGCAGGATGCAATACGTCCGCAGCATCAGCGGTTCCGTCTCGAAGACCTGGAATTCCATCAACCCAGCCACCCTCAGCGGGGCAATTGATGTCATTGTGATCGAGCAAGAGGATGGTTTGTTTGTCCTGCTCTTCGGTGCATCGCATAAATTATTAATCGCAAATTGCCGCAGGAACGTTGGCTTGTTCTCCATTCCATGTTCGATTCGGCAAGTTCTCACTCCTCCGCCCGTACGAGAAAAAGGTACCGCCAGTCCGCATCCACTGTCCAGCTATCATGGCTAAGATGTTATTAGGTGGAATTCTCCGTGAATGGCGTCAAACAGGACTATGCGATGAAGCTGGGTGAGGGCGGGGAGGCTTTTTTCGTGTTCGAAACGACTGCCGAGATTCCCGCCTCGCTGCAGACGTCACCCTTAGTTTCGCCTACCAGCAGTCCTAAGATGCGCAGCGAAGAGAACATTCCCTCTTCCTTGTCAGAGCCGGAGTATTTAGACCTCGATCGATCCCCGTCGCCTACTGAAAACCAAGCCGATGGGAAGTCATCGGCTGAACTCCCCATATTGTCCAGGGGGATGCGGGCATCCAGCGACCTGGGTACGTTGAGGAAGGGACTTGGACTTGAACAACGACTGATGGCCTCACAGGTACCATTACACCTCTTTCGCGATCACCGGATAACGATTCAACTTTGGGCCGGTCCCGCCACGGCTCCTTCAGCGAGGGGCCTGCCAAGATCGACCGGATGGCCACCGATAGCGTGCTTTTGACGAAGAATCGATCCAACAGTATCGGGGTGACGAACCAGCCGTATGCTGTGAATGTCTCAGGCGATGAAACCACTCCGGATGGACGATCCCGCAGCCCTCCGCCGTTGTCGCTCGAGGAAGTGATGTCTCGAGCCGAATCGCTGTCGAAGAAGCTGTCCGGGTCGAACATCCCATCTCGCGTCACGGAGACTGGAGACTTGATGCTGGATATGACGGGCTACAAAAGCAGCGAGGAAGATGCGCTGCGGGCGGAGGTCATTGCCCGGAAGATTCTCGCCGAAGAATTGGAGGGCAATTACGACATCGGAGCCCTTATCGGGGCAGATGAGCACGGTAACCTATGGATCTATAGCAGCGAGGAGGCCAAAGAGGCTGCCGATCGCCGGGCTACGTTCAACACAATGCGACCGGGGTCGGCAATGAGTGAAAATGCCATCTCTGACCCGGGGTACCATAGCGATAGCGATCCGTCCATCCATGACAAGGCAGTGACGGCCCGTCACTATCGGACGCAATCAGACGTGCAACCTGGCTTTCCCACGCCGCCACAGTCGCCTAGTCAAGATTCCCTTGCCTTGGAACCCACACGTAATTACGCAAAGACTTTACGATTGACCAGCGACCAGCTCAAGGCTTTGAAACTGAGACCTGGACCCAACAACATGTCGTTCAGTGTGAACCGAGCAACTTGCACCGCAAACATGTATCTGTGGAATGGCAACACGCCGATTGTGATCTCAGACATTGACGGGACCATTACTAAGTGAGTATAAACCTCGTGCCATCGGCTTTCCTCCCACTAAACGTCATAGGTCTGATGCTTTGGGTCATGTGCTGAACATGATCGGACGAGACTGGACACATGCTGGAGTCGCCAAGTTGTACACAGACATCGTGAATAACGGCTACAACATCATGTACCTTACTAGTCGATCCGTCGGCCAGGCCGACACTACGCGAGCCTATTTATATGGAGTGTGCCAGGATGGCTACCGACTCCCCAAGGGTCCAGTTATCATGAGTCCGGACCGGACCATGGCAGCACTTCGACGGGAGATCTACCTTCGGAAGCCCGAAGTCTTCAAGATGGCGTGCTTGCGAGACATCCTGAACTTGTTCAATGGCAAGGAGAACCCATTCTACGCCGGGTTTGGCAATCGCCTGACGGACGCGCTAAGCTACCGCTCGGTGAATATCCCTTCTACACGGATTTTCACAATCAACTCAAATACGGAGGTATCGTTGGACCTTCTCAGTTTGAACAAATACAAGAGCAGTTACGTTTCAATGGGAGAGCTGCTTGACCACTTCTTCCCGCCTGTCAGTTTGCTGGTTCAGGCTGGTGGCGAGGAGTACACCGATTTCACGTATTGGCGTGAACCCCCGCCAGACCTCGAGGCGTTCTCATGTACAGATAGTGAAGCCGAAGACGAGGAACCGGAGGAGGACGAAGAGGAGGACGAAGAGGAAGAGGATGAGGAAGAAGAGGAGGAGCTGGACGAGGACGACGAACTTGAGGAAGATGAGGAGTACGACGGCGAGATCAGCGACGATGGCAGCGAGGCTCTGGATGAGGAGGAGATTGATGAAGAGGAAGACCTTGGCGCCAGCTATATATCGCAAGACTCTGTGGACGGATTTGAATTGGCGGATGACCACCACATTGTCCCCAAAGAGGAGGAAGTGAGAGCTGTCAGTGCCCCTCCAGGGTCTCCCCCGAGGTCACCGTCTCGTTGAAGCGTTGTCGGGCGTTGTTGTTGAATCGGTGGGCAATGATTAGCGTGAAACACGCTCGATACCCCGTCTGAGGACGATTGTCGCCGATGCTTCGAGCTGTGATGGCATAGATAGAGCTTGCATGGGGGTGTTTGTTTATAGAGCAGCATTGAGGCGTTGCAAGGATGCATAGTCTAGTCTAGTCAGAGTCATAATTATAGTTATATGTCAATACACTTGCGGAGTAATAGCTCTATGAACATAAGGACAAAAGAGATGTGGACTCAGAGGCCGCCACCACTTTAGTTAGTGTTTTTGCCTGGTGATTTGAGGCACGGAGATGATGCCAAGGTATACTTCGACGTCCGGACTGGGACTAGCGTGGCGGGAAGAATCCCGCTCCAGTCACTTTCCAGATTCAATTAATTGCTTCATCCATCCATGATCCATCCATCCACCTCAATCTCCACGACAGGAGTTTATTTCTGGCGGGCCGTTGATCGATCGCGGAACAATAATGTTTAAGATTGTCCATTGATTGCCGCTTGCTTCACTCTTTCCTCATCGCTCTCTTAACTACCCGTCGCATCCAGCTCAACCTCCTCAGACACCCACCGCAAGGCGGTAGACGACACTTCCGCACGCTCCTATCTCCTACGTACAGTACTCCGTCAAGTACAACAGCGCGCTTGCCCAGCAAAGCACTCCGCACGACTTCAGTGCATCTCCTCCATTCCACCTTCTCCCTCAGACATGGCCTCACCCTCGCACCCTTCCAATTCCGGCGCACCCACAACCAACCACCCGATCACCCCTCCAGCCGACCACCACCAATCGACCCCCAACGCGGCCTCCAACATGAACACCACGAACAACACGACGACGACGTCGACGTCGACAAATAACCCCGCCACTACCACCACCGCCAACCCCAACACAACAGCAACCACAGCACCCGCCCCCTCGACGACCCCAGCACCCCCCAACCAACCGACCCAAATCCCCTCCACCTCCCTCAAAGACAGCGGCAAGTCGCGCCGCCCGCGCGATGTCCGCCTCATCCACATGCTCCTGGCCAGCCTGGGCGTGACGGCCTACCAGGAGCGCGTGCCGCTCCAACTCCTCGACTTCGCCTACCGGTACACCTCGAGCGTGCTGCAGGACGCGGTCCACCTGGCGACGGAGGGTTACGCGGGCGCGACGACGGACACGGGCGCGGCGGCGCGCGGCCCGCCCGAGGTCAACAGCGTCAGCCTGCCGGCGCTGCGGCTGAGCATCGCCTCCCGGCTGCACTACCAGTTCCAGTCCGGCCTGCCCAAGGAATTCCTCATGGATGTGGCGGCGGAGCGCAACCGCGTGGCGCTGCCGGGCGCGAGCCGCGGGTTCGACCAGCAGGGCAACTCGAAGGTGGTGGCGGGCAGCCAGGGCAGTGTACTGATGGGTGGGCTGCGGTTGCCGCCGGAGCGGTTCTGCTTGACGGGTACCGGGTGGAATCTGCGGGAGGAGTGGGAGAGTGAAGGGGAGGAGGAGGTGGAGATGGAGCAGCCGGGGGATTTCGGGGGCGATGGCACGTCGGGCGGTGCGAGGGAGAATGGGGTTACTGGGGTGAAGAAAGAGGAGGATGGTGAGGATGAGGATGAGGATGGCAAGATGGAGGATGTGTTCGGGGAGGATACGGCCATGGGGGAGGATGATGATGCGGATAAGGATATGACGGATGTTTAGTTTGGGGGTTGGGTGGATATGGATGGTGTTTTGGCGCTCGGCGTGAGACTAGGTTGATCGAATTTCGACGAGGAGAGAGGTCAGGTTCTATACCATATCTATAATCATCACGACTTCAGCTTCTGCTCCCCGGCCACTTTTGAATCCTCGAACCCTCAGCCACTCTCTGGTCCATACTATACATGTACAGATATGCTTTCTAAAAGGTAACCTGTAAACAACGACCAGACAGAGAAAAAAATAAAGAAACATAAACGCCATATCGTACAGCATAAACAAATGAAAAACATAACGCCCATGAAGAGAGCCCCAGACTTCGCATATCCTCATGCATCCCCATCCCCACTCCCGCCCCCGCCCAGCTCCAATGGTGTGAACTGACCTCCAGCTCCAAAACTCAATCCACTGCTCATCCTAACCCCCCCCCCCCAATCTAATACAAATCAAGAAAGAATATACACCCCGGGGCGCATCCTACTTCTGCTGCTGCTGCTGCTGCCGCAACTTCTCCTCCTCCTGCCGCCGCCTCCGCTCATCATCCGCCCGCATCATCGAGATGACCTGCGCGCGCCGCTCCTCGACGGCATCCAGCTTGGCCTGCTCGGCGCGCCGCCGCTCCTCGTGCGTCGCGAACCACTCCTCCCGCGCCCGGTCCTCCTCCTCCGGTTTGGCGTGCGCCAGCATGCACGAGTTCATCGCCAGCCGCTGCTCCCGGCACACCCAGGTGGCTGTTACCGTGCGGTTGACGGCGCATTCGGCGAAGGCTGTACACATATCAAATGACATTAGCGTTGTGGACTTTTTTGGGGGGGGGGGGGGATTGCTTTGCTGGGATTTGGATTCTTGATAAAGGGGACGGGGGAGCGAGTGGTTCAATTGGGGATTCGGAAGGTGGTAGGAGCAGGCTCGTACCCTTGATCTCGGGGGCGCAGTGGCCTCGTACGCGCTTGTAGTATATTTGCTTGACTTCGGCTTCTTGGGTGGCGGAGAGGGGGAGGGGGTTGCGGAGGTTGTATTTTGGGGTGGTCATTTTGGTGGAGGTCTTTGAGCTTTGCAATTGAGGGCGTAAGTGAGGCGAGTGAGCCAGAGGAAGAAAGGATAGGCGTGGGATCGGACTGAGTGGTTGGAGTTCAGTGGGTTGCACGATGTCAGTAGTAGCGTTGGTCGATCAATGCGTTGATTGTCCGTGTCTGTCTGTCTGTCTGTCTGTCTGTCTGTCGGGGGTGATGGGAGGAGGGTGGTGAGGTAGTCAAGTAGTTGAGAATCAACTCATGTAGATACACCAACAGTCGTGTATTAAATCCAGGCAACCAGAGTTTATCCCAAGAGTCAATTAGCCACGCGACAAGATCAACATCCCAAGTCTCAACAATCAATGACCACCGCAGCTCGGAGCTTGGATGCGGACAAAGTTCAAACCGGGTGGACTGATCCCAAAGCAGTTTAGTCTCTCCGCCTCTCCGCCTGCCCGCCGACTTTTTTTTGAATAGTCTGGTCTATCTGGCAATCCATCACAACCTACGTATCAGATCCAGACCCTCTCCGTCTCGTCTGCTTGTTCCTTCCCATCCATTCTCTTTCTCTTCGAGAACTCTGAGCAAGAAAACCGACCGTTCACCGGTCCACCCACCTCAGATCAGAATGTCCACCATGCGCAACGCCGTCCAACGGCGCAACCACAAGGAGCGAGGCCAACTCCAAGGCCGCGAAAAATGGGGTATTCTTGAGAAGCACAAGGTAAACAACCAGCCTTCCCTTCAGGCTTAATTCCCCACGGTACTAATTCTTTCCAACAATAATAGGACTACTCCCTCCGCGCCAAAGACTACAACGCCAAAAAAGCCAAGCTCAAGCGCCTCCAGGAGAAAGTCCGCGACCGCAACCCCGATGAATTTAACTTCGGCATGCTCTCCAGCCACACGGCGCGGCAGGGTCGTCACGGCACGGGCGTGCGGGACTCGGCCGCGGCGCGCGGCTTGAGCCACGATGCTATCAAATTGCTCAAGACGCAGGACGCGGGGTACCTCCGGACGCAGGGGGAGAGGATCCGTCGGCAATTGGGGCGGTTGGAGGAGGAGGTGCAGGTGCAGCAGGGGATTAAGGCGGCGCTTGGGGAGAAGGAGGAGAAGAAAGAGAGGAAGACGAAGGAGAAGAAGGGAGGTGATGATGAGTTTAATGGGTTCGATGATGATATGGATTTCGATTTCGATTTCGGGGATGAGGATGATGAAGAAGATGATATGATCTCCGGGGGGAAGTCGAGGAAGGTGGTCTTTGCGGAAGATCGGGATGAACAGAAGGACTTGAAGCGGGAGCGGCTGTTACGGTTGGAAGAGGAGGAGGATGACTCCGAAAGTGACGAGGATGATGACTCGTTCGGTCAGCGCAAGAAACAACAGCAGAGAAAGTCGCAGAAGCAAGTCGAGGCCGAGCGTCAGGCGCTGGTCGAGGCCAGGCGCGCCCGCAAGATGAAGAAGCGCGCCACGGAGGCCAGAGACAACAAGATCAAGGCCCTGCAGAAGCAGTACAAGGAGATTACGGCCGCAGCCCGCGAGCTGGACTGGCAGCGGGGCCGCATGGACAATGTCGTCGGAGGCACGAATAAGAATGGCGTCAAGTGGAAGATCCGCGAGCGCAAGCGGTGATCTGCCCTGCGTCTGTTGTCTGTCTCTTCAATCGCTGCTACATGATTGATGATTTTATATCGCTTGCTTGTCACTGCATGGGTTGGGACGGAAAAGTTGCCCCGTTTTTGTTCTCTTATTCAAGTGGGTTTATAGATCGCCAGGCGTCCGAGATACCAAATGTTCTTCATATTGTACATTGATCGTCACAAGGGAATCATACTTTTCTGATTGGCTATGCTTGCAATATTATACGCGTCAGATCGTAACCAGCTGCTAAAGAAAACGAAACATTACGCATCATCATCGAACTACTGCTGCTGCTTCTTCATGTGCGCTACACGGATGCTCACAGCCCGCTTGTGCGCATCGAGACCTTCAACCGCAGCCAGCTGCTCCACCGTACGAGACAGACCCAGAAGACCCTCCGCGGTCAGGTTAGAGCTGGTGATGTGCTTGAGGAAAGACCCGAGGTTCACTCCAGAGTACTGCTTGGCATATCCATAAGTAGCTGCGAATCATTAGCCATTGCTTCCAGGAGAAAGAAGGATAAACTTACGAAGAGAGTGGTTCGTGCCAGCAGAGTAGTCGCCCACGCTTTCGGGAGTCCACTGTCCGACAAACACACTTCCGGCGTTCTTCACACTCGCCACAGCCGCCTCAGCGTTCTGAATCTGCAGGATCAGGTGTTCGGGAGCGTATTCGTTGCTCAAAGCCATGGCTTCAGCGAGGTCACGCACAACGAAAGTAACCGAGTGGGCCAAGGAGCCCTTCACAATGTCGACACGAGGAAGAGCCTTGGCCTGGATGTCAACCTCCTTCTCGATAGCCTGGAGCTGCTCCTCATTCAGATCGATGGCAATGAGGATAACCTGAGAATCCACTCCGTGCTCGGCCTGGCTGAGAAGATCAGAAGCCACGAAAGCCGGGTTGGCATCCTTGTCCGCAATCACCAACACCTCACTAGGACCGGCAGGCATGTCAATGCTGACACCAGCGGAGGTGTCGTTGGAGACCAACATCTTGGCCGCCGTGACGAACTGGTTCCCTGGTCCCAGGATCTTGTCCACCTTACTGACGCTCTCAGTACCGTACGCCATGGCCGCAACCGCCTGGGCACCACCAGCGAGTACGATACTCTCGGCACCCACCTTGTGAGCAACATAGACAATCTCGGGAGAGATGCTGCCATCGGCACGAGGAGGAGACGCGAGAACAATCTTCTCACAGCCAGCCACCATGGCTGGAACACCCAGCATCATGGCCGTGGACGGCAGAACCGCCGTTCCACCAGGGATGTAGAGACCAACCCGCTCAATGGGGCGCGAGAAACGAGAGCACACGACACCGGGCATGGTCTCAACCTTGAGGCCCTCAGGGCTGCCCTTCTGAGCGCTGTGGAACTTCTTGATGTTGGAAATACTGATGTCAAGGGCTTCCTTGGTCTCAGGGGACAGCTTCATCAGCTCAGGTGCGAATGGGGCACGGATGACAGGAGAGGTCAGGGAGGTAGCCTTCTCAAACTTGTGGGTGTACTTGAGTACGCCGGCATCGCCATTCTCGCGGACATCCTGGATAATGGGACGAACGAGAGCAACAATCGCATCGTTGGACTTCTGTGAGGGACGCTTGAGATACTCCTTCACCTGGTCAACCGGAGTCGAGGCGGTAATCACACGAGTCATCTGAAGAGGCTCATCATCAACCTTCTTGGGAGCCGGCTCAGGGGCAGCAGGGGCAGCAGGCTTCGACTCGGGGGTGGCGGCGGTCAAGCCAGCCTTCTCCGCCCAGGGGCCCTTGGCATCACCCTTTCTGCGCTTGACCTTCAAGCTCTTGAGATCAAGGTTGCGCTCCACGTCCTCAAGGCTGACACCAGCAGCGACACAGCGAGTCAGGGCAAAGTAAAGCAGATCGGCGGCCTCGAAAGCAATCTCCTCCTTGGTGTTGGCACGGCACAACTCATCAGCCTCCTCCATGATCTTTGCCTGAGTGAGCTTGGGCTCGTTGAAGAGGCGTGCAGTGTAGGAGCCGGCGGGAGCATCGGCCTTGCGAGCCTGCAGCGTCTTTTGCAGACGAGCGAGGCCGTTGTAAGGTCCGAAGCAGCTGGGGGCACCCAAGTGGCAGAAACCTATTTATGGTTAACCGAGAACGACATATGCGGTGTGGATAGACTTACCTCTACCAATCTGGTTGACAACAAAGACCAAGCAGTCGCTGTCGCAATCGAAACCAATGCGGATCAGTTCTTGCACATCTCCACTGGACTGACCCTTGTACCACAAGCCACGCTTACGGCTTTGGTAGACGCCCGTACCGGTGCGAAGAGCCTCTGCAATGCTTTCATTGCTACTCCAAACCAGTCCCAAGCAGATTCCTCTTTCATCGGTGACGGTGGTTGCATAAAGACCGTTGCTTTGGTCGGTCACAGCGCGAGCGGCGACCAATGAGGCGGCGACAATCTTGCCGTTGGGTTGTTGGTGGTCGAAGGTCAGAGCGTCGGCGGGAACAACACAGACACCTCCTTGACCGATAGTGTCCTTCAAGGCCTCCTCAGTGACAGCGCCAGAGTATGTGCGATAAAGGTTCTGAGCCTCGAGGTTGACGTTCAATTTTTCAGCCAGAGACTTGATGGCAGAGGCATCGGTAGATAGACCAGCCTCTTGGCGCTCCTCAGATCCACCAACCCACGATTGGAAGGCATTGATTTGGCTCTCGGAGGCAATGGCGACGACCCGAGATGAGGGGACGGACTGTTCTTCGGACAAGGTGGTCAACTGGTTGAGTGTGACAAAGATCTTGGCGGCACCGGCGTTGAGGATGTCGACCAAGTCACCGGAGGAGGCAATGGCAGTGGCATCGACGTAGACATCAAGGAGACGGAAGTTGCGCTTGAGGAACTCCTCTGCCTGAGCGAGGCTGGAAACCGTGATAAGAACGCGACCGAAGTAGGCGATCTGCTTCAGCGACAAACCGCCGGTGGAGGCGGCGGCGGGGTCGTACGAGACGAGGAGGGGAGTCGACATGGTGAGGCAATCGAATTCAAGTCAATGATAGAAGGTGGAGGAGATAGAGACAGATAGACGAGGCCCCAAAACGGGGGGGGAGAGAGAGAGAAACAGGACAAGGAAAATTGATGGGGAAAAAGAAGGTGGGGAGAGGGAAGAAGATTCAAGAGGATGGATGGATGGATGGTGAGTATGAATCATAGGAAGAATACTGAGTAATTCCTATCGGTCCCGCCTGCAATTTTCTCGCCTGCCCCGCAATCGGAGCCTGGAGTTAGAGACCGCCTTCCTGGTTGAGACAAACCGAGGGGATAGGTTTAATTGGCTGACCGCCTGATGCACGGGTCAGGCACATTCACTGCCGGGCACTGAAGTGTGAACCAAGGCTTACGTCAGGGATGGGATCATCCATAGTTATCCATTTGTCCTACTGGAATCATGGATCTTACATTAACTTACCTACCAAACCTGCCACAGCCTAATTGCAAACGCGGGCAGCCACTGGCACTGCATACTTAGCCATGGCCCTGTCCCACAGAACTGTGCCTGACCGGACAACTTATTTTTGAGGATCAATAACCTTGTTGGTTCCAGTTCCTCTCTTTCACTCCATGGGGGGTGGTTTCGGACGCAACCCCCTGACTATAGTGACATTCTGGCTAAAGATAGTCTAGTCAGCTTAAGGGTCTATCACCTCTTTTGCCGAGTGCTCCTGCTGCTCCTGCCGATCACTTCCATCAATGAGGGGGGAATGCGATCATATGCTTTCTCTCCGCATCATCTGCTCTGACCCTTGACAGGCGAGCTGACCTGCCCCAGTGATGTCTCCAGAAGTCTAACTGAATCAAATTGAGGCAACGGGGTCCGATTCGACCTTCGACTTGTCACACTCTCGGGCGTCTGGTCTGGTGCCTGGACTCTGGGGATGAACAAAAAGGAAGAAGGTACTCATATCCAGACTGATCCGGTCCAAACCGGAATCCACCCTTGCAGCTCAATGCATAGCATGGACGGTGGAGGCCCCTGCAGTCACCAATCGCGGTCTCCAGATCGGCGAAGAATGGACCAACTGCTGGCCATGATGTAGCCTTTCTCTCCCTATGCATGCCTCCTGCTCCTTCAGGTCCAGGCTCCTTCTTCTTTAACTCCTAAATTATTCCCCACCCCCCCCCCCCCCCTCTCTCCTCTTTTCCCCATCCTCATCGTCGACAACTAGCACCGAATTGCGGGATCTAGTGCGTGCGATCGTTATTTATACTGGTTGCCCCTCCCCTCCGCCTGTTTTCCTCAGGCTGTCACTCTTTGGGTTTGTTTCTGCTCTCGAGTGTAGTACCCATTCGTTGTCTATAATTTCCCGTGTTGCCCTTGTGTCACTCTCTCACCGGGGTCATGCATTTTCCCTCACTCTCTTTGTCGCTGACAGCGTTGGCTCTCGTCAGCCCTAGTGCCGCCTTTCCGCAAGCCCGATTTGTCCAGCCCGTTCTGCGCACCGAAGAAAAAGCTCAATCGCGCGCCGATGCCGTCAAAGAGGCCTTTTCCCACGCTTGGGATGGCTACTATCAATATGCGTTCCCCCATGACGAGCTGCACCCCGTTTCCAATGGCTATGGGGATTCTCGTAACGGATGGGGAGCGTCCGCGGTGGATGCCCTATCGACCGCCGTGATCATGCGCAATGCGACCATTGTTAATCAGATTCTCGACCATGTAGCGAAGATTGACTATTCGAGCACCAGTAGCACGGTCAGCCTGTTCGAGACCACCATTCGCTACCTTGGCGGCATGTTATCCGGCTATGACCTGTTGAAAGGCCCTGCCGCCGACCTGGTCGACGACTCGTCGAAGGTCGACACGTTGCTCACTCAGTCCAAGAACCTGGGTGACGTTCTAAAATTTGCCTTTGACACCCCGTCGGGCGTTCCGTACAACAACCTCAACATCACCTCTAAAGGTAACGATGGAGCCACCACCAATGGCCTTGCAGTCACCGGCACCCTTGTCCTGGAATGGACACGTTTGTCCGACTTGATTGGAGATTCTACCTACGCGGACCTGAGCCAAAAGGCCGAGTCTTACCTGCTCAACCCCCAGCCCCAATCTGCGGAGCCTTTCCCCGGATTGGTAGGAAGTAACATCAACATTGCGACTGGCCAATTTGCCGACGGAGCGGTGAGCTGGAACGGTGGAGCTGATTCGTACTACGAGTATCTGATCAAGATGTACGTGTACGATCCCAACCGGTTCGAAACCTACAAAGACCGCTGGGTGGCGGCGGCCGAGTCATCCATGAAGCACTTGGCGTCGCACCCGTCCACGCGCCCGGACCTGACATTCTTGGCCTCGTACAACAATGGCAAGTTGGGCCTGAGCTCTCAGCACTTGACTTGCTTCGATGGCGGTAGCTTCCTGCTCGGTGGCACGGTGCTGGACCGCTCCGACTTGATCGACTTTGGTCTGGAACTAGTCAACGGCTGCCACGACACCTACAATTCGACTCTTACCGGCATCGGCCCGGAGGCATTCAGCTGGGACCCGAACTCTGTCCCCAGCAGCCAACAGGCTTTGTTCGAGAGCGCTGGCTTCTACATCACCAGTGGCGCGTATATCCTCCGACCGGAAGTGATCGAGAGCTTCTATTACGCGTGGCGTGTGACTGGCCAAGAGATTGTAAGCAAAGAGGCTCTTTGGATGAAGTGTTCACGGCTGACAAACAAACCTTTAGTATCGCGAGTGGATCTGGAGCGCCTTCCAGTCAATCAACAAGTACTGCCGCACCGACTCGGGATTCGCGGGCCTGACCAACGTCAACGCCGCCAACGGCGGCAACCGCTACGATAACCAGGAGAGTTTCATGTTCGCTGAGGTGCTGAAGTACTCGTACCTGGCGTTCGCACCGGAGGATGAATGGCAGGTGCAGAAGGGAAGTGGGAATCATTTCGTGCTGAACACGGAGGCCCACCCAGTGAAGGTGTACAGTTCGTAGGCTTCGAGCCTTGCAGTAAGAGCCTGGCAGATGGTGCTATTTTCCGTGTAGAAGTCTAGAGTATAGAGTTAGACACGGAAGTACATACGTACATATTGTTCGAGTAAATGGGAATATTCTTTGAGGGCCATAACTTCATATCTACTGAGTAATTAGTTAGCCACCACAAGGGGGACTAAGACCTGATGTAAATGCAGAGTAGCACTGCCTTTACTCACGCCGTTGAGAAGACCTTCTCCTCTAAATGGGAATCCTTCTCAAACATTCTCAAGATAGGCATCTATTGTCAAAGGAATGAAGGTCAAATCAGAATGCAGTCCTTTAATTCGACAACAAAGAAACCACCTCGATAGAGATAGACTTCGCCCCACTGTGGCCCCACTTTCCACCCCACTCCCCGCGTTGATTTGCGCAGATTTGAGCATCTTCGAGTATAGATCCCTACCTTCAGTGCTGGAGTGTCTACGTTGTATCTACCTTGGTAGCCAGACCACTTCCCGGGGCCACCTTGGAGACTGTCTCCCCATAAGTTCCTAAGGTTCTCTCTCTCTCCATCATGAGATGAAGAGCCATCCATATCAACCCTCACCCTCAATTCTCACGTCAACCCTATAACTTACTACACAAACATCCTCCATAACCAAACCCTCCAAACCGTCTCTTCAGCACAACTCCACCACCTCCTAGATATCACCAGAAGATGTGCGGCCCCACCCGCCCCAGCACCGGCAACCTCATCGCCATCATCTTCCCCTCCCCCGAAAAGTCCTCCTCCTACTCCCTGACCTTCAGCCACGACACGCGCACTCCCGACGGCCCGACGAGGGCGATCTTCCGATTCCCCGATCCCAAGGTCCGGGATATCTTTGCCGCTGCCCGGGGGGTGGACTTGCGGATCGAGTGAGTTGCTTCCATTCCCCCCTTTCATGCTGTGGTGGGTTCTTCTCGTCTTCTTTGCGCAGAGCTAATACTTTTGGCGGTTGGGGATAGGAAATATGGGGATTTGACTGCCTCTACGGGTGGGGGTGTTGAGCCGCCGTTGCATTGGTTTCGGGTTGGGTTTGGTGGGATTCAGCCATTGCAGGAGCAGCAGCAGCAGCAGCAGGTGATTGAGGTGGTGTTGCCGGAGAGGTTGGAGCTGGGGGTGTCGGGGACGGGGATTGTTGGGCGCGAGGTGAGGGTGGCGGTGGATGGAGTGGATGCCATGGTTGAGATGGGGAGGGGGGTCGTTGGGTTTGATTAAGCTGTCTAGAGTATTTCGATGTTTATGTTTAGATGTCTGGGAGTATGGAGTAATAAGGAGTTACGGGTGGGGGTTTGGTTCGTTAAGATACAGTACCGCTGAATGGGAAGTTACTATATTAGATGATAACCTGAATTGACGTCAGTCACTTGCTTGTCGTAAGACCTCAACAACTATATGTGAGATTACAACTTCAACAAAGCAGCTCCATCCACCCCGTTAGTGTACCTCTCCTCCGCCTCCACCCAATTAATCACCTTCCAAATCTGCTCCACATACCCCGCCTTGTTGTTCAGATACTACACCATGCGTAAGCCTTCAATCCATCCACAAGACGAAAAACATACCTGGAGATAATAAGCATGCTCCCACATGTCCACACCCAGAATCGGCACCTTCCCTCCAACCACCGGATCCTGGTCCTTGGTGCTCACGATCTCCAGCTTCCCACCGGGCCCACCCACGCTCACCAACCAACCCCATCCGCTGCCCTGCAGCCCCAGCAGGACCGCCCCGAAGGCGGCGGTGAACTGCTCCACCGACCCCCACTGCTGCTCGAGGGAGCGCTGGAGGGTCGGGGCTGAGCGGGCGATGTCCGTGGCCGAGGAGCCGTGGGGGGCCAGGTTGCGCCAGAAGAGCGAGTGGTTGATGTGGCCGCCACCGTTGAAGGTGAGTTTCTGCTGGATGCTGAGCAGGGCGGGGATGTCGTTGGTGGCAAGGGCGGTGGTCTGGGCGTCGAGGGTGGCGTTCAGGTTGGTGATGTAGGTTTGGTGGTGTTTTTGGTGGTGGAGCTGCATGATTTGTTGGGAGATGACGGGCTCGAGGGCCTGGTGGGGGGTGGTTAGTATTCTGAAGCATGTCGGAATTTGTTCAGGGAAGTCAGCAGAGTGGTTTGACTTACATCGTAGGCGTAGGGGAGAGGTGGGAGGGTGTATTTGGGGGACATCTTGAGGCTCTCTTTGCTATGGTCGTAGCTGTTGTGATGATTGATAGTGGACGGTGCGCAGAGATTGTTCGGGCGTGGAAATCGGTGGGCAATGACGAAGAGTTGAAAGGGGAAGAAATAGAAGAGTGGAAGAGGGAAATGGAGGAGAAGGTAAAGGCAGGATCTCCAAGGTCCTCCCTCTCTCCCCTCTCCCCTCTCCCCTCTCCCCCTCATGTTAGTCGATGCGCACTTTTGAGCACATTCTTGCCTGCTCTAGGGCCTGCTGGCTTCTGACTTACGTCTCCGCCAATCTTGTTTTTTAGAAAGCTAGCTGAAGAAAGATTCCATCCCATAGGCCAACATCTGCCACCCAATGTAAGCTTGAAGTCAATGGCTGGTCTCGTCCTCTCCCTCCGCCACCTTACCATTCCCAAGCCATCGGACGCAATCGAGATACTAAAGTCCTGAACGTGATCATTGTACTTACAAAGAACATGACACAAAGGCCAGAGATATGGAAGTGAGCCAATACGGCATTCATGGATGTCTGAGCGTCCTGCTGCATCGCAGAAAGAGCCGTAAGTATGGTTAATATGGTTTCTCCAGCGGTCTCTATCTCTTACCAATAACTAGCATGTCCAGGAACTCAATTGGAGTCAACAAAGAACAAAAATCATCTTCCAGCTGAACAGCAAACATGCTCTTATTCCAAAACGGAGGCCTGAGCACCTTCTGCCTCGCATGTCTCAAGCCTCAACATGGCTGAGACTTCTCGCCTCGCGAGCAACAGACGTTGAATGAGACACGGCCCAGCACTAGCGATTTTTCAGACTTGCATCTCCATCACAAAAGTTTGAGCCTTAGATTGAGAGCAAATGAGCAAATGAGCAGATGAAACTATGCCGACCGCTGCAGTCCTCAACTCAGATATGGTAGCAGGATCATTTTCGGATGACTCCCACAATGCACTCAGACGACTGGTTGGTTTCTTGAAAGCTCGAGGCTATTTATCGCGGGAGCTAATTGACCCAGCTGGGCAAATCTAATAAGTAGCCGCTACTGAGCTCAGAAGCTAGCATATTGATGGTTGACAGAGACATGTCTGGAATCTCTTTCGACCGACGAAACTGGCTAATTGACAACTAGAAACACCAGCAGTGGATCAAGTCATCTATGAGCGCCAATTACGAAGCACCTGGCCTATGCGGTCATCATAAGCAACGGAACTATTCAGCAAGTGTTCTCTACACTCACAAAAGACCCAGCCTGAGTTTGAGCAACAGACACATGTTTCGAACAAGGCCTACCTGGCCTTCATCACCAGTGAAACTGTTCAACTACCAACCCGTTCATCCTAAAATTGTTCAGCACAAGAGCGTCAGCATACTCCCGATTAGCCGACACATGTCTTTGGTCTCTTTCAACTCAAGGAAAGACAACAAGAAAACACCAACTAGTGCGCAGCGCAACAATGGACACACGGCATCAAGGCCCCAGCCTATCCAGTCATCACGACAGGAGGAATTGGTTGATATAAAAGCGAGTATACTCGCCAGCATACCACTGGCTCCTCAGACCAGACTCTCCTTTCCAATTCCCAAACAAATATTACCCAAAGCAACTCCCAACACATAAGTCTCTCCGGAAGACTGTCCAAAACGATTCTCCACCACTCCAAGCCCAGCAGCTACGATGTCATCCTTGCACCCCGAAGCAGAAGAACTCATCCGTCAAGCGGAATACATCATGATTGAAGCCTTGAAAAACGGCTTGCCGAATATGAAATTCCTCATCGTCAGGGAATCCCTCTTTCATGAGTACCTTCGTCAGTGGAACCAACCCGTTCCACCCAGGGTACGTTACCATCTAGTGCCCACAACCGAACTCATGGAGCGCTTTGTGCTAAAAGAAGAACTCTCTGCTAGGAATGGGATAGCATGATCGTACTGGACTTCGAGGGATTCTACCCGCGCTTGACAGTGCGAGACGTCATTGACCAGGTCCGCACCTACTGCAGTTGCACCGTACCGATGCCCTATCAACCTGCGCTTGCGGTGAATGGGATCGTGATCAAGTTAGTTCCGGGGTACTCTGTAAGCCAGGCAGCCCTGTGATTTTGTTTTCATCTTGTCTTTTCTTTGCGCTCTTTCGTTCATTCTTATTGCGGGAAGGGCCATGCTAATGGAAATGCCAGCTTATGCATGGAGACCAGGAAGCTCCATGGCTGAACTCAATCGGTGGCTGGGGCACTGCGTACCCGTATGCGTACCAGTCTGATCTTAGGAGATTGCACAACGTTTGGCAATGTCTCTATAATTCGTTGAATTAGGGTGACTCTTTAGTAGTGATAGGGTGTTGCGGTTGTCGACTCTTGGTGAGGACTTCTCCCTTGACGAGTATGAGAAGGTTACTGGAGTGATCGGCCTTACTACAAGGCATTGAGCTCTGCTACGCTTTCATCCAGAACTGCAAGTATGATGGTGATTCATATTGAGGAGGGGTGCGAAGAAAAGATAGTTTTGTTTGCTTTGCGAGATCAAATTTGGGATTTTGTCTGTTTTTTCGTATACAGCACGGCCCAGGGGGAATTGATAGCTCATAGGAGTCCATAGCAATAAGTGACAGTGTGACTCTGGGATGTTCGAACAGTAGTACTCCGTACCCTGATGTGCAATCCCATCAGTCTCGATTGCATCATTCCGACCTTGCAGAGACCCAACTGCTTGACCATCTTCCACCTGCACTTTCTCTGCCTGCCTCTTCACCTCTCCCCATCTCAACTCCATCTACCAAGCCAAAAGTCCCTCAGCCCTATCACAAACGAAAGGGCCCACGCAGCATTCACAGCCAATGAAACTACGCACTGTGGAAAAAAGCTCTAGCATCCTCTCAAACCCAGCAAACACAATTCCGGGGACCTTTTCAGCCTGGCAAGACCAGACAATCGGAACGAGCGAACCACGACCATACCGCGGCAACATGCAGCAAACAAAATGACCTTGGATGGAACCCATCAGAGGGATATCTCCCGGCATAAAAAGCAAGAAGGGTACTTCTCTCGTTACTCTTTCTGTTATTCGAATTCACCCGAAGAAGAAGGGGAGCTCATCCCTCGGAAGAAAAACAGCTTTTCTACGAAACAGACGTCTCTTCTCCACGAAAGAAACCCCCAAAGCGAGACCTCTCTCTCTCTTCCTCCCTCCCTTTCTTTCTCCCTTTCTCGCATAACCGACTTGACTGACCCCTCCGCGAGAACAATCTCTCCACAGATTCCACGGATCAACAAAGAAACCACAATGAAGTCTCCCGAATTGATCTACGGGTTCATCAAGCTCAGTATCAGGGGGGAGGATCCTGACGCGGAGGATGAGCAGGATGAAGAGGAAGACGAGGAAGAAGAGGAGGAGGAGGAGGATGAGGAGGCAGAAGAGGAGGAGGACAAGGATGATAATGGAAAGGATGACTGTGACCGATATCTTGAGGAGGAAGACTACGAGAAGAGAAGGACCAAGAAGTTCCACAATTCGCGGGGGCATGAGGAATTTTACTTTGTGGACCGGGATGTCAGTAGTGATGAGGATCAGGATTATCCCGATAGTGATGAGGATGATAGTGATAGTGATGAGGGTTGGGATTATCCTTGATTCCACTCGTGAGTGAGGGGCGAGCAATGAATTCTACCTATGTGCTGATGAGCTTTTCGTTTGCTGATGCGTAGGAGGGGATAGAGGCATGGTTCGTTTGGGTTGGGTGGCGGAGCTCTCGGTGTTCTGCGCCGCGCAGTTGCTTGGTTTTCGTTTACAGCACGCCTTGGCGTGATAACTTGGCTGCTTGTGGGAGAAGGAAATGATGAAGCTGGCTTTGTAGGTGGGAGCAGTATCCAAGTATTGTGCTTAACGATCACTCATGTTGCGACTAGCTCCAGTTCCATCAGTACGAGCACCATCAGCTTCAACCACTTCCGCCACCGCTTTTTCCGCCTCTTTTGCTCTCCGCTTCTTCAACTCTTGCTGAAAACCCAAAGTATACTCATCCGGATCCCAAGCAAGAGGTCTAGTATCTCTTTCCTCCATCTTTTTCGCCACAAGCAATTCCATCTCCTTCTTCTCCTCCTCACTCAACAAATCAGCCCTCTCCTCCCACGTCCTCTCTGGCCCTTTTTCAGTGGGCCCAAAAAAGCGAGGGTCAATCTTCATCCAGTAGATCAAATCGAAAGCAAAGCTATGTTGCACCGCGTACACAACCCAGAAGTCTCCACTTTCCCAGCTCCGCTTCATGGGACCGGAAAGCCTCTGCCCCTCCTGCAGCCGACCCTGTTCAATCGCTCGATCCTCACACTCCCTCATCACCTTAAGGAATGTCTGCAGCCGGAGACCAAATACTCTGGTCCAGTCCTCAATGCCCTCCGCCCAGTCCTCCGGCTTCTCAATCAGCAACCACCATGGAGGTGCGTATGAGAATTCTACCGGGGCAGCATATGTGAATTCCCAGTCTACCACGCCCACGATTCGCATCTCTTGGGATAGAAGTACATTTGCGGGACGAAGATCATCACACCAGACCTGGAAAGGTCCGTTCTCCAGCGAGGGAGTGGTCAGACGCCTTTGGCGGGCTAGCTTGCGGAAAAGACAGCGCGCAATGTATTTTCTTCGACAGTCATCCGGGGAGGTTATTGCATCGTTGCGTTGGTGGGTTAGATGTTCCAGGTTCAAATCTGCAAGGTACTGAAAATATGACGAGGCCGTGTCAAATGTAGTTTGTGGTTCAAGCAGTTTCGAGCGCGGCAAATCTCCCAGCCGGACGAGCTCGTTCATGTTTATTGACAAAGGCCGGCGTGCTACTTCCCAGGTGAAGTCGTCAACCTGGCTGAGAGAGCCTATACGAGGCAGTGAGGGGGTCGAGAGTTGAAGTAAGACCCCGGCCATCTGGGAGTAAAGCATCTCCAGTCTATCCTGGGCAATATTTGGGTCTAGTCTGCCCGGTTTCTCTCTCGGGCATCCCGGGGTATTGAGGGCGTCGTACATTTTTGTTTCGTGCTCCACATAATCCATGATGATAAAGGGACTTAGTTCGAGAGGACTCTCCTGTTTCGTACCCGAGTGCAGAACAAAAGGAACCGGGATTGTTGTCTGATCGGTGATAAAGCGCATTATGGAAACCTCGTTTACGACTTTCTCCTCAGGAAAAAGCACGGCACCGGGCTGCGATAATCGTATAACTGTAGCACCATTTTGGTACTTCAAGCGCAAGGAAATATTGTAGGAGCCCTTCCTAAGCATGGCAAACTCGGTAGCATCGCCTCTGTTATGACTGAGGATAAAATCTGCAATCGGTCTCAAGGTGTTGATCTCGAGAAACTGGAGGAGCCAGTTGTCAGCAATGTCCTCGGCTTGTTCCCAGGCCACATCGTCGGGGCTCATTCCAATTTGCATGATTGCGGCACGGGCTAGATGTGACACAGCGAAATAGAAAAAGGAATACGAAAGGACTTCAATTGCCTAGAATTATGCCTAGGATTTCTTCTATAGCACAGCGTACTTCCAAGCATTTCAGGAGAAGGAGATGGGTGGTTGGGAGAGAGAGAAAATAAACATCAATCACTTATAGGTCTGCGGGTCCTTGTCGGGAAGGCGTGGGGTGGTGGATCTGTCACATGACCATCGATCACCTTCCTAAGTTGGCTGGCTGGCTTTCCTTCAGGTGCCTTCGTATCTCTAGCAATTCCTACGCCATCAGTCGCCTGAAAACACTTCCTGCTAGGGGTGATTATTTACTCTATATTAGCACAGCCCCACAGCTTAAGCGCCGGGTTTATCTCCGATAAGATGTAACGGCTACCGTCGAGGCTATACATATGCTAATCAACTGACCGCGCCCCCTGGTTGAAAAGGCTCTTCTTTTCTTATAAGCCGATGGCCTAAGCCCTTCGGTTTAAGTGCGAAGTAAGCGCTCAGCGATGTAGAAGGCAAGCATCATCCAATTACTCTTACAAGATTATGATCCATGATCCATAGATAATCATCTTTCAAGAATTAATCTCTATAGATTATGCGCCGACGCAGGGTTCTCGTTTCTGGTTAGAACCGAGGGCTGTACGGTATAGCCTAGTGTGGTCTGGCTGGTCGAGCCTCGAGTGTACTAGTCGCTCTAATGCTGTCAGCCTCTGAAGAACAGAGAATGCCATGCGCTCTATAGCTGCTTCTTCTGTCCGGGCCGCTGCGACGACGGCAACGGCAAATCCCTGTCAAGTGGGAAAGCCTTCCAGTTCAATATGAGGTATAAATACTGCGATGCGCACCGTGCATCTCTGTTTCCTCTTACTCTGAGAGAAAGACAGCCTACCATTCTCCGGACTTGGATTCTCTTTCTCAGTGTCTCTAACATCACAGCAACCTATTGCGACAAGCTACCCTGCCGAGCCCTCAAACAGCTGTTTGTTGATCGTATGGCCTACTTGCTATCTAAGGTATACTTACAGCCCCGATCATCCGCATTCAGATGTTTCACTCTGACACGTATTCGCAGACCTTTTGTGATACGTGATCACTGCCACACCGACATGTCAGATTCTAAGCAGGCTGCCCGTGACCAGACAGCTTATCAGCTGAACCTTTCCGCCACCGCTGCAAATACCCTCCAAAAACAAGGGGAGGACTCGGCAAAAAGACGGGGGAAGACTTTCGAGCCGCAGGAGCTCAGGTTCCCCAACCCGAATGAGGAGAACAGCATGCACCAGGCTGGTGAAGAATCAGCCAGTAGGAGGAGGCATGTCACGGAAAACATTGCTGATTCATACAGAAACAGCTCCTAAAGAGCTTCTTGGACTGGCTGATAAAGATAAAGAAGAAGTCGAAGTGGACAACTTGACGGGATTCTAGGACGATGGTTCTCATATTTTCCGTTCTCCTTGTTGGTAATTCTGTGACATCTGAACGTACAATTGGTACAGGATCTCACTCTTGGCCTGTATTGGATATTGCTTCCCTTCCTTTCCGATCCATTCAGCTATTGTTTGCCTGACTAGAACAACACGGACACAATTCTTGAGTATATTGGAGGTACCGACCTACTACTCCCAAGTATAATACCCCTAGCCGACGCATGTGTCTTTACCATTCTACCAACGCCCTCTGGCTCTTCTGGCCAGCCACAGATGACATCCAGCGATCGCAGCGAGCCCAAAGACTCTTTCTCACTTTCTCCTGAGCAGCTCTGAGTTGCCTCGATTCCTTCGACTGTCGCGCATCACTCTGACTCGTCTCGCAGAGGCGAGGGGATAGAGGGGATGAGACCCGTGACAGGAAGGCGGGCAACAATCTCCGTGCAAGGCTTCTTGTTTGTCTCTAGCTCTCTACTTGCTTGTATGTGAGGCGGGCTTTCACATAACAAATGTAATATGTCTAGAAGACCCGGCTGGAGGATAGTCAATTCATAAAGCCATGATCTAGCGCTTTATCAAGGCGAGCGGCAACATAACGGCAACATAACCTATGCTCGGACAGACAAATGCAAAACTTGCAAAGCGATACCTTTTTTTGAGGTAAACTCTACGTGTCAATGCTAGTAAGAATACGTGGTCGACGGTATCTTCAACTTGTCCGTACCCGTACTAACGAAAGGGCTCCACAATTCCCAGTTCCAGATCCGCAACCTAATCCACCAACCCGTTCCCGAACGCCTCCGATCCCCGATCCCAACCGAGCTCGGTGAGTCAAAGAACCTCCATCATCCTCACCGGCACGCCGTGGTTCTCTTCACCCAGCGAATGCGGAAGAAATAGGGATCTGTTTTCTTCTTGGATCTTGTCTCGGGACTCGGAGGTTTCAGAGATTTGTGGAACCTGAAGGCCCACGGGCTCGGGAAGTTATGGATCCATGGATGAAAGCTGCCTAGGGAAGGAGAAAGGAGAAGGGGATGATCTCATCATGTGTCAATCCGAGTAAAAGTTTTGGGTTCCGATGCGCACCGAGATACTTTTCTTTATATAAGCTGGGGTTGCTGGATGGGGGGTTGTGTTTTTTTTTTTTTGGAGTTCTTGGTTCTGGTGATAGATCGGGTTCAGTCTAGTTGAGTCCAAGTCCTGTACAATTGCTGTGTGCGGACGGTACATACTTACATTATGAGACGGATGTTACCATCATCCTTCTGGGGTAGGGCCCCCGCTAGAGTGCAGAGTCTGAAATCATCCTCGACCTTGAGCATTGGCAGGGAAAGAGGAAGGTCGATATCGCTGCTCTCTAGCAGACCACGAGTTGACAAGCATGCCCTATCTACAACAACTGCATCTATACTCACATCATCAAACACACCCACAATCACAGCCAGACCCCTAGCAACACATACCTCAGATTCATCGACTCCGATCCCCAGCCCCGACAAGCCCCGAGTCGTCATCCTCGGCTCCGGCTGGGGAGGATACAACCTCTCGCGCAAGCTCTCCCCCGCCCACTTCACCCCCACCATCATCTCGCCGCGCTCCTACTTTGTCTTCACCCCGCTCCTCACCGACACCGCCGGTGGCTCCCTCGACTTTTCGCACATCGTCGAGCCCGTGCGCGACCGCCACACCAAGGTCGATTTCATCCAGGCCGCCGCCCGCGCCGTCGACTTCGCCTCCAAGACCGTCATCTGCGAGGCCACCGTCGTCAAGAGCGGGGTGACCGAGTCCACACGCACTGACGACGGCGAATCTCAACCCCCACAAGCATCCCCCACGCGCACCTGGGAGAAAGGAGAGACTTTCTCGGTCCCCTACGACAAGCTGGTCATCGCCGTCGGCACCGTCAGCAGGACCTTCGGCACGCCCGGCGTGCGCGAGAATGCCTTCTTCTTCAAGGATGTGGGCGATGCGCGGCGCGTGCGGCGCCGCGTGCGCGAATGCTTCGAGCTAGCCGTCTTGCCCACCACCTCGCCTGAGATGCGGCGCTGGCTGCTGCATTTCGCGATCGTCGGCGCGGGGCCCACCGGGACGGAGCTGGCGGCGGCGCTGCGGGATTTCATCTCCGCGGATCTCATGGCGCTGTATCCCTCGTTGAAGGGCATTCCGAGGCTCTCGCTGTACGATGTGGCGCCCACGGTGTTGTCGATGTTCGATGAGTCGCTGTCGAAATACGCGATGGATACGATGCGGAAGGAAGGGGTGGACATTAAGGTTTCACATCATGTGGAGGGGTTGCGATGGGGCGCTCCGGGGGAGGAGACGCCCGCGGAGATGGATCCGAAGCGGTGTTTGACTCTAACTACGAAGGAGGAGGGCGAGGTCGGCGTAGGTATGTGCGTCTGGGCGACGGGAAACGCAATGAATCCTTTCGTTAGAGACGCCTTGGCCGATGTCCAAGCATTTCCAAACGAGTCGGCTTTGCTTAAGGATGGGAGCGGCCGCCCGAGTGAGGACGTCTTGCAACGGTCCGCGTGGCATGTCAAGAAAGCGCCGAAAGTCGGAGCGCTGTTGGTAGATGAGCAGTTGCGCGTGCAGCTGGAGAACGAGAGTGGGGACACAGTGGTGCTGCAAGACGTTTTTGCCCTGGGCGACAACGCCATGCTAGAGAAAGGCGCACCACCAGCGACGGCACAGGCAACTTTCCAGGAGGCCAAGTGGCTGGCTAATCGTCTCAACCGGGGAGATTCGCAGCCCACGGCCCCATTCTCGTTCCGCAACATGGGCACGTTGGCATACATTGGAAACGCGAATGCCCTGTTGCAAATCCCGCACGAAAACGGAGAGCATCATAAGTACCTCCCAGAGGGGCTGAAGGGTCGGACCGCTTGGTTAGTGTGGAACTCAGCGTATCTGACCATGAGCATCAGCTGGAGGAATAAGGTTCGAGTTGCGGTTCGCTGGATGTTGAATCACCTTTTTGGCAGAGACGTGTCGAGGTACTAGACTAATGGCCTTCGATGGACGTATCATAGGCCGAAAAAAGTGAAACGGCTCTGTCGATGTTGTTCAAAGCATGGCAGGAACTTGCGCATCTCCCCTCACAACTCGATCAATCAGCTCCATGGCCTGGAAGAGCTCGTAGTCATGCTGCTTGGGCGTAATGACCTGCACACTCAGCGGCGAACCCAAGTACACTCGGCGATCCACAGTCTTCTGGTTCCCTGTTGACCATTAGAATCCAGTAGGAAAGATAATAGAAGAAGAAACATACATAGCAGCCGATTAGCCTTATCCCAGCTTCCCAAAACCGGTGCCGTCATCTCCGTCCCCAGCTCCAGATCCTCCTCTTTGAACGAGCGCACGGGAATGGTGCCCGCCGGGTAATCAAGCAGCACCCAGGACGAAGTATACCCAACCGCATTGTACCGATCCAATTCCGGCACTGGATGCGGCGCGACCGGGTGGATGATCGCATCAATGTCTCGAGTGTAACTTGCATCTGCTGTCACCCCCCGAGACGTCCACATTTGCAGCATCTCCCGCTCAAGCTGGGCTCGTTGTGCTTGCAACTCGCCTACCTGCGCGAGCGTCATTTCCCGACCCCGCTTCATCCGGCCCTTCAGCCAGGGTATCAAGGGCTCCCCGGTGCTCTCCAGCAGATCCATCATGGGGTTGCCCCCGTCAACCCCCATCAGTCGACCAGCAATACCTTGGCATTTGCTCAGAGCCGCAGGCACAGGGATCTCCACGACCCTGACTCCGGGCGTCCGTCGCAGTAACTGTGCTACCTCGTCGATGACCTTGGCGACAGGTGGAAGCGGCTCACTCAGCCCATCGCGACGGAGGATCCCGATAGTGAAACTTTTGCGTTTTCCAGAGGGAGGCTGAGGCTTGGTGTCGGTAGAACCTCCATTTAATGGAGGACAACCAAGCACTCTACTATCAAACCATCTGCCTGGAATTCCCTCCTCACTGAAGAGCTCCGTGCGAGGCACGATCTCGGCCATCACGACCCCCAGATCTGCGACCGAGCGGGCCAGAGGCCCAGCCACCGGCTGAAGACTGACCCTCCCCTTGCCGACCATGCTGCCTGCCTCTTGACTTCCTGCAATTGGCACGCGACCTGCACTGGGTTTGAATCCGTACAGCCCGGTGCACATGGCAGGAATCCGGATGCTACCGCCAATGTCGGTGCCAAAGCCGACCATCGACCCGCGCATTGCGAGGAGGGCCGCCTCACCTCCCGTGCTGCCTCCGACGGTCAAGCGACGGTTGAGTGGATTGAGCGTCCGGCCAAACAGGTGGTTGCAGGAGTCAAGGGCGCCCATGGTCTGAGGGACGTTGGTCTTGGCGATAATGATAGCGCCCAGGGAGGTGAGGAGGTTGACGAGCGGCGAGCTTTGGGCTGCTGGGTGAAAGGCCAGGGCAGCAAGGCCAGTGGTGGAGTCTACGCCGGTGATATGGAATGAATCTTTGATGGAAACAGGGAGGCCGTGTAGGGGACCAATGGGCTGGCCGGTGCGTTGGAGATGGTCGTCGAGCTTCTGGGCTTGCTGAAGGGCTTGCGTGAAGACAGGCTCCGTGAGGCAACGTGTGAGTTGATGTGCAATTGCGGCTCGCTGCATGTGCCCTGAGTTAGAATATGGGGAGAGAGGGTAGCACGGGATTAGAGCGTTACCTTGCAAAAAGCGTGGACTACCTCCTTTGCAGTCAACTTCCTCTCACGAATGGCACCCAGCAAGGAGCGTACATCGTATTGCTCGGTGATAAGCAACTCATCTGATGTGAGAAGCCCGCATGTCCGCGGAATGTCCATGACATTGATGGCTTCATATTGGCTCGTGTTCGTGATTGAGTCGGCCGTAGAAAGCAGACCGGGTGGAATCTGCGAGACTTCCAGACGCCACAGATGTGGTATCTGCGCATCGAGTTGAAGCTGCTTGCAGTGAGAAATATCCTTGTAAGACATTGCTAAGATCTAATAAGTTGTACTCGATAATTGAAGGTCGAGTTGGAAAAAAAGAACAAATATGGTGGTTGTCAAGAGAAGGCGGCAGTAGATATGCGGGGAGAATCTGGGGAAAAGAAAAGCCTCGGCCTTCGGTCCGCCCTCCTCGGTTAGCCTTTTGGTATTTACAGGACGGTCAGTCACAATAATAATATGCAAAAGGTGGAATGGCGACCACGTATTATTTTAATTCAGTCTAACTAAAGTGAACAAAATGGTATCTATCGACAGTGACCCCACCAACTCTTTATCTTCAGATCTAGCACATAACCATCCGCCCCTTAAAACCAATTTAGACGCGTCTACTGCCGCTACCATCAGAGCAAGTTACAAAGGACTGAGAAGAGATAGACTCACTCGACTAAACCACTAGATAAATTTAAGAAGAACACGGCGTCTAGGAAGACGAGAACTCAAACAACGCGATCGTCGAGCAGAAGTTGCTCTCGTTGCCCTCTTGAGGCACCAGCGATTCTCCACTTGCCGAAGTCACCATGTTGGTACTGGCCTTGGTACTGAGACCATAAATATGCACATCGGAGCAGTCCACTTCCACCATGTTCTCCTGGCAGGACTCCGTGTCGAGACAGGTCTGCGAGTAGTTGTCGAAGAAGCTGTAGAGACCCGCACCGTAAACATAAGTCTCCGAGCTGCTGAGGACACGAAGACCCCAGGCCTTGCGGCATGAGTCGGTGGTGCAGTAGGAGAAATCAGGGTCGTTCCAGGTGGTGTTGGGAGTGAAGGGGGTAAGGGCATTGGGATTCGCCTGGTAATAGGGCGTCTCAGTCTGGATGAGACCCATAAAGACATTCTTGGCATTCGAGACTTGGTAGTTGTAGAGCTGGTTGTGCTCAGAAGCGGTACCATACAACCATGCGGACTCTTGAGTCTCAAGGAGAACTCCACGGCCATTGTAGATATTGATCTGGTTGTGGTCTGACAAGTCGAGCTCGTGGTCGGCAGTCCAGAACCAGGTGTTCTCAAGGTAAACGCTGGACTGCTCGGTGGCGTGGAAGAGGAGGAAAGCGCCAACACAGTCGGAGTTGGGGGTGGTGGTCTGGTCAGGGGTCTTGGTGCAGGTATTGCTCTGAAGTTCAGTGCCTGCCGATCCACCGATGCGAGCGTGAACATCCCACATACCCGCCGAGCCTTGTGAGTCGGCATTGAGGTTCCACTGAATCAGAATGGCGCCAGGGGCAGGACCCTTGGTCTCGACAATCAAGTCGCTGATTTCAACGGAGCCGCTCTCGCCAACCTCGCCAACCTGGAGCATGGGGATGGGATTCTCCGCGTCGGAAAACTTGTCACCATACGCCATCAGCATTGGCCAGATTTCACCGGTGATTTTGATATTCTTGGGGACCTTGATGGTATCAGTGATGATGTAGGCACCGTGGTCGAAGTAGACAATCTGATCGTCTGTGCACGAGTCAAGGACCTTTTGGATGGCAGCGGTGTCGTCGGTAGAGCCGTCACCCTTGGCACCGGCGGACTTGACACTTATGAAGGAGGAAGCAGCGTAGTCCTCATACAAGGGCTTGGACTTCTCGAACAGGGAACCGTCACTGTTCAAAAGGGCGCTGGGCTTGGCTGGGGATGCCACAGTGGTCTCGAGGCGAGTCTTGGTGACCGTCTTGTAGGCACAGGTACCAGATCCGGAAGAACCAGAAGCATGAGCAGAGGAGGCGGCCGCGGACGTAGCAACAGCGGCAGATGAGCCTTGAACATGGGTCGTACTGGCAGAATAGCCGGCAGCAGAGGACTGCTGGGCACTGGAGCCCGAAGATCCACCGACCGGAGAGGATTGCTGCGCGCCAGAGCTTGACTGAGAGCCATATGCAGAAGAGCCACCGGCAGGAGAAGATTGTTGAGCGGTTGATTCCGATGATCCGCCAGCGGGTGAAGACTCCTCGGCATCAGAGCTAGACTGGTAGCTAGTCGCCTGTGATGCAGATGTCTCCACGACGGAAGGCGAGTACTGACCGGTGGCAGTGCTCTCAGAGCTACCCCAGGTGCTACCAGTGTGAGGGCGACGGTCAGTGGCAGCAGTGGCCTCGGCACTATTGAGTGTAGCTTCAGTCGCAGCCGTGTGGAAGGCGGAGGCTGCAGATCCGGTCGGGTAATCCGCAGGACAAACCTCGATGGTCGTGGTGATAGTTTCCACAATAACTTCAACAGCAGGCGAGCGCTTCTTGAGCGTGTTGGAGGGCGTGTAGGCGTTACCCTGGACATAGTTGTCGACGACAGAGCCACCCGCCAGAATCGTGCTGCCGGAAACACTGGCCACAGCGACGCTGGAACCAGTGAAGTCAACGTTATCGAGAACAAGAGCGCCACCACCGGTAGGAATACTGTCAGAGCTGAAGGCAGTCACAATACCAATGGGTGTGCCGGTAAACTTGCTATCCAGCATCAAAACGGAGCCAACAGTCTGGTTCGAGGGAGAAGCGGACATGTTTAGACCGACACCGCAGTTGTTGATGGTAACAGACTTGAAGGTCCAGGCCCAGTTCCAGTTCATGTAAATGGCAGTGTTACAATCATTGAAAGTCAGGTTGCGAGTCGTGAACTGCTGGTTACCCAGGAAGGCACCATAGTTACCACCGTTGAAAGTCAAATCAGACATGAAGCCGCCAGATCCATTATCCATGAAAATACCCTGCTGCTTGTTGGCGTCACCTCCTCCCTTGATCATCTCGAACCGGATGTTCTGCAGACTGGTGGCTTGGCCGACTTGCCAATGAATACCGGCACCGGAGGATTGGGGCATGGCGGTGAGGTCAATGACAAAGTTGCGGATGGCACGGAAGAAGTTGTTCTGGTTTGTATACCAATTGGCGCCAGTGTTGGTGTAGGGGTCCGCATCAATCACAGCCATACCAGTGAAGCTGGCAGACGCCTTGAGTACAGGGAGCTGGTTGGCATCGCCAACGAGCTGGGTGTAATAGTACTGCACAATGGGCGTGGATACAACATATGTGCCGGGAGGGAAGTACACAAGAGCCGGAGTTGTAGTCGAGGAATCGCAGCCCTGGCCGCAACGGTTGCCGGAGGAAATCGCCATGTTGATAGCATCGGTGTCATCAGTGGAACCATCACCTAAGAGTCGCCTGTTAGCGTACGGTCTGCTCATCATCCAGGGCCTCCAACCTACCAGTAGCACCAAAGTCCTTGACATTGCGGAAAATCTGATAGCTCGAGCTGTTACCAAAGGGCACAGTTCCTTGACGTGTGATATCAGCCACCCAGTAGGTCGAGTCGCGAGCCTTCAACTCCCCGCGGGCTTCCAAGCCCCCCTTCATGGGAACAGCAGAGACTAGCCCGGCCGGAAGGCCGAGCAACAGCAGCACGTGGGCTGCAAAGAGCATGACGAATCTGTTCAAAACAGCCATGGTCGAGATTGTAGATGTCTGTCACTGAGCCCGCAGAGACAATGAGGGTGTGAGTAGGACAGTAATATACCTGGCTGACTGGCAGGCAGGGAAGCGACAAGACAGTTCAGCAACCGGCACTGAACGAAAAACGAAAACAGAGATCGGATGACGAAGCGATATCCGTCACAAGACCCAGTCAGAAGGAGACGCTTTTCGCACCTTCCCAAACTGAAAACCGGGGTAAAAAGCAGAAGGAAGAGGGGAATGACCAAAGAGTGGCAGGCCAAGCAGACAGTAAGTGGAATGAAGGAAAGGTCAAAAGATAACTCGAATGAATGAATGCGACAACACACAAACAATGCTGTAGCCAAAAACCTGCAGGCACTGAACACAGTATCTCACACCGTGTGACACACACACTGCAGGAGGGAGGAACACAAACGAAGAGAATAGGGAACGAAGGGGAGCAAGAAAAAGAAAGCAAGCCGGCTTGTGAAGAATCACGAGCTGGAAGAGGGACAATCAGTAGATTAAAAGACTGGCTCGACCCCAAGATGGACTGTCGCTGGTTCCGTTCCGGCGCGGGTCCTTCCAGGCACTGATTAAACCTTAGTGGCCTTAGGCAGGCTTCCCACTCTCCACTATTGGCACTAGCCGAATTAACCAGCACTATCACTGGGAAACTGAACCCACAATCACAGTAGCGCCCGATTACCGCCCTGGATTGATTGGCCGAGACCGACACTCTGTGGCAGAAAGCACCGCGGCACCCCCTCAAGCAGCTGATTCTTAGTCTCCAATAAACCTTGACAAAGGCACGCGTGAAACGCCTGGCTCAGGGGTTGAAACAACCGAAGCAAGACTACTCGAGCCAGTCAGTACACTTTCTCTCTCTGATTGGAGCCACCCGGACCACTCCAGAGCCACTCCAGCAGATTGCAGTGGGATGATGACCAGTTCCAGGCCAACCAAGCATCTGACTAGATCCAGTCCTCAGTCAGCACTTACTTAGAACTAAACACCTTTCCCGTCTGATATTCGTCGGTGCACCCGTGAAGAACCTTGGACGTGCAAATGACGGTCGCGAGCGAGCGAATGGAAAGCCGTGACGGACTCTCCTCCCTTCCGAACAGAGATAAACAATTCACACCAGACAAAAGGAGCGAGTGGTGATTGCAAAAACGAGCACACAACAACAGAGCCTCGTTCCAGATTTCCCGGGACGTGTCCTGGGAAAAGAGAACAATGAGGATCAAGAGAGTGTATGGTAGAAGGAGAAGGAAGGTATCCCCACAGTCCAGAGGTGGGAAAAAAAAGACGGACAGAGAGGGAGAGAGGGAGGGAGAGAAAAAAGCAAAGAGCGCGAGTCAGCCGATCAGCGGACTGAATGAGATAAATAACAGGACTGCGCTGGGATCAACATAGCCGCCGTGGCCAGAATTCAGTCGATTATGGCAGATCGACGATTCTGCTTCGCTCTCGTCCCGCGCGTAGGCTGCATGACTGGAATCCTATCAACAACCGGTCCCTAAGAATGGCATGAGATAGAACCCTAATAGGGCAGGGCAGCACCGCGCAAACACACCC